AATTTGCAGCTGCTGGGGAGGAGGCGAAAGAAAGAATCTCTAGGAAATTCCAGAGACCTAGGATGGGGGAGGGCCCCAGAGGTTATGGAGGTGACTTTAGGTGAGACTCATAGAGATATGGAATCTGAAAAGTTCACCTCCTTTAGCCAGGCAGGACCCCAGTGGATGGATAAGGACACCAACCCACTCACAGACTTTCAGTCAAACATTTGTCCTGTCTAAAAGAAATGCAGGGACAAAGATAGTGCTGAGACTGAGAGAACAGCCAAGTGACAACTGGCCTCACCATCCCATGGACAAACATCAATCCCCAACACTATTAATAATACTCTGTAATGCTTGCAAACAGAAGCCTAGAATAGCTGTCCTCTGAAAGGCTCAACTCAACAACTGACTGAAACAGAAGGAGATGTCCACAAATATTGTAGAGAACTCAGGAACTCTTATGGAAGAATTGAGTGTCCCAAATTCGAAAAGAACACACAAGAAAACCAACAGAGTCAGCTAACCTGGACCCTTGTGGTCTCTCAGAGACTGAATCACCAACCAAAGAACATACAAAGGTAAAATCTATCCGCCCAACCCCCACACATATGTAGCAGATGTGTAGTTCTGTCTTCATGTGGGTCCTAAACAACTACAGTGGGGTCTATCCCAAAAGCTGTTGCCTTTCTGTGGGATACTGTCTTCTGACTGGGCCCCCATGTCTAGCCTCAGTGAGAGAAGATGAGCCTAACCCTGCAGAATCTTGATGTGTCAGCATTGGGGGATACCCACGGGGATCCTATGCTCTCTCAGAGCCCATCTCTGTCTGTTCTTAGCCTGACACATACTCCGAGACTGCATTTTTCCTTTCGCCAATGCTTGTCCCATCAAATTTGGCTCTGCCTCTCCAGAGCCACAAAACAGCTCTCTCCTCCCCGAACTAACAGCCTCAGGCCTCAGGCAGACATTCTGTCTGCCTTGCTCCCACAGGATTATTGACTTATTATTGGATGTAGTTAAAACTCATAATTTTGTGTTATTAATTGAAAGTCTATGCTCAGATAAACTTAAATCATATGACATGATTCCATTCTGGGATATAACCAACACATGGCTAGTTGCCATCTTTATTAACGACTGGAGAAGGCAGAGCCATAGATTTACCACCATCTTGACTAAGGGTAGGCTCATTCCTTGCAGCCAACACTGTTATGGGAAGTCATAGCTTCACTGCCATCTTGATTAAGGACAGCAACATGTAACTTGGGAAGCAGGTCTCCAATGGTATTTTGAATTGCAATAAGATGTTTGTATGATTTCTGTACTGTCTTGCCAAATGGTTTACAATATTGCTCTATGTTTTTACTCTTTAAATAGTAGTGTATTTTGATATTATCTTGGAAGTTTTACAGCATTAAAGAGTTTATAGATTATTGCTTTAAAAATGTATTTGGCCTTGCTTTTGCTTATGCTAGTAAGCTATAATATAGTCTTAAGATTTTTATAAGCTGTAGGTTTTTATATTGATAAACCATATTAAGGTCAAAAAGTTGCCAGTCTCTTTATAGACTTTCTTTTTAGATTAAAAGATTTCATTCTCATGCTAGAAGACCTTCAGTTCACCAATCATGATTCTTGTGAGGCTCAAAGCTAACAGGTTCTTGTCTCAGAAGCTACTATAACAGTTCAAGTCTCATAAAAATTACTATAATTAAATACAAATTGACAGTCAGTTACCTTCTCAATGACCATATCCTTTAATGAGTTCAAAATTATATTTAAAGGCATACTGAGAACTGATGCAGTTAATTGCAATATTAAGCTTTATTGAGCTCCTGTTTTATGTTTGCTAGAATTAATTTAAAGCCAACAAATAAAAACAGACATAAGTTGTTTAACCCAGATATACTTTATAAGTTCTAGCCTTAAATCCTGTCAGAGATCTGCTTAATATGACATTAAATGTTTAAACTTATTATGACAGACATAGAATCCCAAATGCTAATGGTGATACACCCCACTGCAAGGTCTCCAAGAATATATAGGTACAGTGATGAAGAACTATCCTGGATTGTTATACCCCAACTATTAGCCAAGACTGCCCCACTGCCTTGCCTACTGTCAGGTCCTAGCCTGAACTGTGGACAGAGAACACCCAGAGAGTTAATAGTTCCCTCTCATGCTCCGTCTCCACAAGGAAAATAAAAATCCTCTCATCTTCTGGGCATGATGGATTTACTGCCTCTGTCATGATGCCATGGAGCCCAGAGGAATCTGGGAGAACTCTCTAGGTAGCAGATTATGAACTAATCAGTCATTTTAATTAATATATGGCATCTAGATTATAATTTATTCTTCTCAAGTCTCTGATCACATTGAAAACTAAGCTATCTGTAGCTTGACAGCTAGAGGACAAGAAGCAACTAGCTCCTTACCCCAAGGTAATCAACAAACACGGTAGCTCATTAGTTAATTCATTAGCTAGTTAAAACTACCACATCTGTTATTAGAAAGGCAAACAGGTTTGGCTTGCTCACAAGCTTCATGTTAAAAGCTAAACAGGTTTCAGATGTACATTTTTGCTTTTTTCTTCTCTAAATGACTAACCTTACAGTGACTGCTCCCAATGATCAACCACCTGTATGTCATGGTAAATAATTGAGAGGAAACAGGAGTAAACTTTATGCAAGGTCTGAGGGTCTGAAAGCTTAAGTTATGAGGATCTAAGAAACGGTTTTTAGGGTCGAAGAAAATGTTTTAAGCTTTGTAAATGCAAGTTGTGGTAGATTAAGGATGTGAAAAAGTAGGATGGTGACAGGAAAGTGGTTTAACATACAAAAAAGGAACAAACATTCTTCAGATTTCTTCCCCTCATTATGCTACTATGATATTAGTATTTCAAAAGTTCAGAGTTCTAACATTAATCAATGAAATTATGATAAATTACTAGCCTAACTCTGATACAACTTACCACTATATGATCCACTATCACACTCACAAGTTCAACATGTTGAGTTTCTTTTGATTGTCTTTTAACTATAGACTTAAAGATGTTTCTCATTGTGCTAAATGTATGTACATTCTGTTTTCTGAATAGAGGGGGAAAATCCTTCTTGCCTCTTCTGATCCATGGAAGGTTTCTGTCTTTCCTGAGCTCACTTTAAATACTGTTCATGCTTTTCACAAATATTGTTTACCAAGTCTCTACTATGACACAATATGGTATTTAATACCTTGTTCTACAATGTGAATTTCAAAACAGACTACAATTCACATTTCTAAAATTTATCTCTTTTGTAAACTTAAAAAGATGCTTGTAAGCTTCAGGAAACATACTCTGATTCACCTCTCCTGGGTCAAATGGACTCCATCTGGATGAGTGCCCCTGTCAATCAACAGCCTAACTTCCCAACCTGTTGTCTATTCCAGAGGGCGGGATCTAACCCAACTCCCCTGGTTTTGTGACTCCTCTCCCCCAACTACCAAGACCATGGTCCTAGGGCTTTTAATGGTACACCTAAGAAAATAGTCTTGTCCCTAACAAACTTAACTTAATTTTCTCCCTCTAATGTGTATATGTGTTTCAGGATCTTGCCAAATTCACATGTTTGCTCAACATCTGCATCCAGAACAGTTCCAGAGAAGCTACCCACAGGTGTTCCTGTCTACTCTCACAGGCTCTTCTACTGGGCCTGCCCATTCCTAGCAGAAGATGGTCCCACAGATCCTAGAACACAGTGACACATCCAACTTTCCCAGGACTTGTCCAACATCCCAATTTTCTTAGGGTCCCTAAAAACAGACCAGCACTCCAAACTTAGCAGGACATAGTTTAAAGAACATGACAAGTGCACTCCAGCTCCACCACTACCCCTTCCTAGTTCTTTATTTTTAGTTACACAAGAAGGGAGAAAGGTTGCTTTACAGGCAATTCCACCAAACTTCTCCCAGGGACCTAGCAACAGCTTGCATCATCATCTGCCACCATTTCTTGTCTGATGCAAGTCAGATGCAGTAGCAACAGCATATAAAAAGGACTGTTCTCTACCCCATATCCCTTCCCCCCTCCTCTACTCTATCCCTCATCTCTTGCTCACTCGCTTTCTCTCTCTCTCTCTCTCTCTCTCTCTCTCTCTCTCTCTCTCTCTCTCTCTCTCTGTCTCTCTCTCTCTCCTCCACATTGTGTTCCTTGGTGAGCTTCTCTTTCTGTCCTTATTTCTTAAGCTCTCACTCCCCTCTCTTCCCACAGATAAACCTCCATTATACCAGATCTGTCACAGGATGTGATTTACCAGGGGTATTCCTTGTTCTGGGCCCGGCAGAACAAGGCTTACCCTCCACTGCTGCTGTGTTAAATTTCTTAGCATTGACTTTAAACACTTTCTAAAGTTCTCCTGACCAGGATGCTCCTTTAGTTCAAGACTCCCCTCATGGGGCTGTAGCCAGATTAAATGAGATTGTTTAGGCCAGGCAGCTGGGATAGACTCAGTAAACAGGGACCTATTGCTGTTTGTGTCTCAGAGGGTGGGCCTGCCCTCTAGTGTCTGGGAAAGAAATCACATGCCTATCTCACCTGCAGAGAAAGGCATGAAAGCTTCAGTTTTCTTCAATGCCCCATTGGCATCTAGGAAGTGCTCAGGATTGAAGGTGTCTGGTTGTTCAAAGTAGCATGGGTCATGGAGAGCTGAACTCAGGATGGGGTACACCTCGGTGTTCTAGGAGAAGTTATGAGATAAAGATGTTAACATATACTGACTCCCATATGAAAATAGTCAATCCCTAAGACAATGCAGAGAAAACACAAGACAGGATGAGGTTGGTGATTAGGAACATAGAATATGCCCATGGAGTAGTGATGAGGAATTGCAGCTGGTCTCACCTTGCGGAGGAGGTACCCTCGGAACATGGTGTCTTTGGTGACTCTGTGAGGCAATCCAATAGGTATAAGATCAGCAAATCTCTGAATCTCGTGGATGACTGCATCAGTGTATGGCATTTTGGAGCGGTCATCAAGGTTGGGTAGCCGGTGTGAGCCAATCACCTGATCAATCTCCTTTTGGACTTTCTCTGCACAGGAAAGGGGGAAAGTGGACTTCTTTTACGGGCTTTGTAGCAATGATATTGTATTCTATCAGCCAACGACACAGGAAAACAGTGCAGTAAGGAGACTCTGCTGAGAAACTGAGAGCTTTCAAGGATTAAAAACAACTGTCCCGTTCTAAAGTGCCCGTCTCTCTGTGCCCCTGTTTAAAACTATGTTAAATCTCTTCTCCATGAGATTCACCCGCATTTCAGCGGGGTTTTACTAAAGAAAGAAAAATAGACAGCAAAGGGCTACTGCACAGGGAGACTTGAGAGCAACTGTGATGAGGCAAGAGTGTGAGGGAGAGAAGAAGAAGAAATTCTCACCTTGGACATGAATTGACAACACACACACACCACAACTTAACATGAAACTTTATATTAATAACTTGAAGTTTTGTCCTCAGAAATGTAACAGAGAAGTAGGTAGATTAGTAAATTAAGCCATCAAAAGAAGCATGTAGAAATGAATACATAAGAAAATCAATGGATAAATGAGTGTATGGACAGGTTCATGAGTTAATGAAATAAACACACTAAGCACTGGATTATACTGGATTCAACTTGTAGGTCAATAGGTGGTTCCATTGGTGGATGAATGGGAGAATGAATAGACAAACAAAAGAGGAATGCAAAGGCCTCTTAGTGAAAGGATTAGGAAATGCAACCCCTTGATAGGAGAGATGAGTGTATGAATGAATCAATGGCCAATAGTTTATTCAACTCTATTGTTCAAAGGAACAACACTTACATTGATTCATTGAAATAAATAAATATAATGCCTACTTTGGTGGTTAAAGAATCAATAAATACACAAATAATTAATCAGTTGATTTATAAGTGGCTGACTGGAAGGATTCAAGGTGAATATGTGTTTGTGTGCATGTGTATGTGTGTGTGTGTGTGTGTGTGTGTGTGTGTGTGTCTACACATGGGTGCATGAGTGCATGTGAGTGTGAATAAGTGTCTAGTATGAAGATAGAAGGATGAGTGAGTAAATAGGTCTTGGAGAGATTGATGTTTAGTCGTGTGACAATGACTGAAGGGAGAGGCTGATGACATGTTCATTGATGGGTGGATAATAGGTGGGTGAATGAACAGAATAAGTAGATACATGAAGAGGTGGATGCAAAGAAGGACGAATAATAGATGAATGTAAAGATTGCAGGAAGTCAGGAAGGACGGAAGGAAGGAAGGGAAGGATCAACCTTTAATAGAGACAACAGAAAACGGGTCAGCTGAGTGTTCGCTCACATTCCACCCACAGCACTGCCTTAGTTTACAAGTTGAACAAAGCAATTAGAGTTCCAGATGTCCATGTGGCTCTCATCCACTCAAATTCCCACATCCAAAGGTAGATAGAAAATCCTCCAACTGTCCACCCATGGTGCACCTGCAACGTGGGGGTACTTGAGCATGAACAGGAAGCCATAGCGGAGCGTGGTGCTACTGGTCTCAGTTCCAGCAAAGAAGAGAGAGAGCACAGACATCATGAGGTTCTGGTGATGGAACTCTGTGTGGTGGTTGGACTTCTCCTGGTTCCAGATGGGAGAGAGAAGAGAGGGTCAGGGGTGACTGGACCTTTGCAAGGAGATGTACACATATCTCTGGTCACTGTCCTTCTGTCTGTGAGTCTCATACTATCTGGACCTCTGGACATTACTTGGCTCCAGACAATATGCCTTGGATTCTTCTATCTTCTTTTTCTACTTTGTTCTTCGGTGGTTTATCATGTTCTGTCTCCTAGGCTCTTTGTTCCTCTGTGGTCTTTTCTACTTTTGCCCCTTGCCCTGTGTTTCTTCCCCAGCCACACACCTTCTCTTTCCCTATGTTATTTTCTCCTCCCTTCTCTTTTCTTCCAGACATTCTACATCTCCTCCTCTCTGTTTCTGCCTCTCCTCACCATCCGCTGTCCCCTCCCATCTTTCTCTCCACATCCCCATCCTTCACTCTCACCCACCCCCTCTCTCATCCATGCAAGACTAACCTTCTCCATGCGCAGAAGGTAGGTATCGATGAAGTCTCGTGGAGTGCTGGGGTCCAAGGTGGCCCTGTGCTGCTCCACACTATGGCCAATGTAGTCAAGGATTTCCTGGAAGTTTTTGGCGATTTGTCTGTGCGTGCCAGGAAAGTACTTTAGGACAGCAGAGAAGAGCTCAAACACCTGCAAAAGAAGGGCCCAGGAGGTCACCTAAAAATATCAGGTCACAGGAAATGGGCAGTGTTCTGTTCCTAGGTTTCCTAGGAGCAAGTTTCTCTCTCCTTCCATCCTCTCCTCTTCCCTCCCTTGGTCCTCCTTCCCACTCTCACTCATCTTCTCTTGTTCCTTCGTTTTCACTCTGATGCACATAAAAACAACACAGCATCCTATCAGACGATCTCTGAATCTTTCTCCAGCACTCTCTTGCCTTGTATTCTCTATCCTCTTTTTCTCTCTTCTCTATCCTAAACCATCATTTAGGTATTGTTTTGTTTTGTTTTTTAATCAGATCTCATATTTTTCAGATTGTCCTCAAACTCAGTATTTATCCAAAGATGACTGTGAACTCTGATCACCCGTGTACTGGGATTGAATACATGTATCACCATAACTGGCTTATGTCATGCTAGGGATGAACCCAGGGATGAATACAGGATAGATAAGTCCTATATAATCTTAGCTACAGCCAGAGCCCCTGGCTCATCATTATCTTCATGTCTGTCTGGATGGCTGTGTATTGCTACATTGAGGTCTCTCCTCCTTGCTCATCTTCCCTCCCTTTGCCTCCAGGTCTCGGCCTCCTTGTCTCTCCGTGTTGTCTCTGCCTTTCTTCCAGCCCTCAGATAGTCCCTCCTTCACCCACAAGGCAGCGTTTCATTTCCTCTGTCCTGGATGCTTTTCTCTTCCCCACCCACTGGCTGACCTGACTGGAGAATGAGCTTATGAGTGAAAAGCTCCGATACAACAGCTCCAGCAGGCGCAGGAACTGGCGGTCTGTGTAGTCAAAGCGCTTTCCAAAGACAAAGGCGGAGATGATGTTGGCTGTGATGCACTGGAAGAGGAAGGTGGGGTCCACGGGGGCACCTGGAGGATGAGGAGGCAGGACCGAGACATGGCATCAAGAGTTGTAGAACATTTGGCTTTGGCCTCGTCTCTGGAAAGCTGTTTCCACTCACTACTCAAAGCATAGCAACAGCTGCTTAAGCCTGCACATATGATGCACCAGGTCCTGAACTCAGCATTGTATAAAACATTTTATTTAATTTTAATTTATTCAATGTATACATAAGATAAAATCCTATTAATGAAAGGATACTAGCCCACTTGAGCTCTGACAGGCGTCACTCACCCCCCCCCTCCCTCTTCTTAGCTAAGAACCATTAGACTACATTCCTAAAGCTAGTCCCCAAAGTCTATTCCCTTACTTGGCCACTGCCTTCTCCTGAAACTGACTACCAAGGTCTAGCTATCAAAGTATTGAAAACCAGCAATCAGAAACCCCCTTTGAACTGGGAAGGAGTGGCGTACACCTTTAATCCCAGCACTTGGGAGGCAGAAGCAGGCAGATTTCTGTGTTCGAGGCCAGCCTGGTCTAGAAAGCCAGGACTACACAGAGAAACCCTGTCTCGAAAACAAAACAAAACAAAACCAAAACAAACAAACAAACAAACAAACAAAACCAAAAACCCTTTGGCCCACCTAATTAACATGCCCAGTTAAAATCAAACATCTCATACTAACACAGGGTCTTCCCTTTTACCTTTATAAACTGCCATCCACCCATGTGCAACATCTGTTCCCTCTCCATTCAGAGTCAGACCTTTGTACTCCAGGACAAAATCCTTCTCCCTCTCCCTTGCCCCCTTTCTCCCCTATCCTTTGTACCCTTCCCCTTCTCCATGTTCCTCTGTCTCATGTCTTTGTCCATTATCCCTGCCTTCATCCCTCCGGGGCAAATAACTCTCCTTTGTGCTGAGAACTTGGTCTTGAGGTGTCCTGGGCCAATGCTTTTTCTTTTCAATTTGTATATACAGAGAGGTTAGCTAACTTCACCAAAGTAACACAGTGACAAATGGCTGGGACCAGGATTCAGACCCAGAGAGCTGAGAGGGGCAGCATGCACAGTTAGTCTCCGCCCTGTGCCTTCCCCCATCACCATGCTGACTCTAAGCTGATCGGCAACTCCCACAGTCAGAAATGGTGCAGAGAAGGGTTCAGGATTGCCTGTGTGGATTGACAAGTCTCTCATCTGTGAGTGTTCCTCCATTCCTTCTCTGATTCTAGACTCTGCAGTGTTCAAGAACCATCAGCACCTGTTGACTGCTGTCTTTGATTTCCAGGCTCTGTGATTGGCCCTCAGGAGATGTTGTCAGTCCAGCAATTGTGGCCCACAGTAGCTGCTCTCTCTGGGTCCAAGCTGTCTGTCTTCTGATTCCTCTGCAGATCTCTCCCTAATTCTCACCAGTCTTTCTTTATCTGTCTCTGATTTCTGGTCTAAATTACTTGCAATATTTACACCTTTTTCTCTTTGTTGCTCCCCCTACCTAATCCCTCCCATTCTCTATCCCTCTTGCCCCTCCCTGCTGACTCATTCTCCTTTTTCTTCTTTTGCTCCCTCTAGTTCTAGCTCAGCTTCCTGGTCTCTGTGTCACCCTGCTTTCTCCTGTCTTTTTTCTTAGTCTCCCAATTCCTTCTTTTCCTTTCTAGCTTCTGCAGGGTCATCTCATGATCTCCTGAGAAATCTTAAGAGATGACAAACACCAGTATGAACCTAACAACAGACTGTGTCACCAGTATGCCCTGTTAGGAGGTTCCTAAAACGTACCCAGAAAAGCCTGTAACTACAACAAAGTAAAACAGCCCACCTGGCCTCTTTGCTCACTGCCCCCAAATCAGCATATTCACAAGGAAAAAACCACAGTTCCTTGCTTCTCACACATGCACTGGACATAGACCATGCTTTGAGACTGTTTTGTGTAACCATGATGACCTTGAACACCATATAAAGTCAAAGATGACCTCAAATCTCTAAGCTCCTGCCTCCAACACAGGCTCACTGTGATGACCAGAATGTAACACCCTGCCAGAATTATGGTGTTGGCGATCAGACTGAGATCTGCGTGTGCACCCACTGCATCAACCTTTTCTTTTCGAGACAAGAGTTGATGATATAGCCAGGCTGGCTTTGAATTTCTGATCCTTTCTCAGGCCCCTGACTACTGGGATGTAAGGCTTGTGCTGCTATGCCTAACTGAAATATAATCCTAACATGGGCATCCATTTCCTTGAATGTAAGAGCCCAGCATGCTAATCATGCAATCTATTTCTCTGAGTTATTCTTGGACACTGTGAACTTCACATCTCTTTCTCTGTTTTTATGTATTTCTTGTTCTCCCTTTGTGTGTGTGAATGTGTGTGTGAGAGAGAGTGAACGTGTGTACGTTTCTGTGTGTGTGTATGTGTGTGCATGTGTGTGTGAATGTGTGTATGTTTATGTATGTGTGTGTTTATGTGTATGTGTGTGCATGTGTATTTATGTATAAGTGTGTGTATGTGTGTGAATGTGTGTGAGTGAACATGTGTGTGTTTGTGTTTATGTGTGTTTATCTACGCATGGGCAACTCTCTTTCTTTGGCTGTACACTCATGTCTCTATTTGCTATCTTCCTTCATGCTCCTTCTCCCAGACTCACCCTGGTATTTCTGCAGTTCCTCCACCAAACATCGGGCTTCCTGCTGAATCCAGTCCTCCACAATCTGCTTTCCCATCCCAAAGTCTCTCATAGTGGACAGAGAGAATCTTCGAAGGACCTTCCAGCGTTCCCCATTGGCAAAGGACACACCTGAGAAAGTGAGCAGGTCACACAGGAAGTTCAACGAAACCT